CAGTATGTACTCATACACCTTATTCACCTGGTCTGGCACCAGGTGACTTCTGGATCTTTGCCAAATTCAAAATGACTGTGAAATGTAAAGATTTTGAATCTATTCAGGACATCAAGTCAGCCACAACAGCACAACTAAAGATACAAAAGAAGACTTCCAGAACTGCTTAGGAAAATGACAAGTACAATGGGGTAAGTCTGTTTGAAACAAAGGGGGATAGGAGTGAATGACAGTGTGTCTGTTACTATTATAAACATTTTAAAGTTTTTAAGCATTCAGTATTTTTTGATCATATCTTACATACTGTAGTGGGATTACTGTTTTTATGGTAGAAAAACATAAAAATAGGTATTTTTATTTTTAAAGAAGCTTTCTACTGTTTTCCATAGTGGCTATACTAATTTACATTAATTTACAATTAAAGTGTACAACGGTTCTCTTTTCTCCATATCTTCATCAGTACTTATCTTTTGTCATTTTGATAATAATTATTCTTACTAGAGTGAGGTGATAGAGCATTGCAGTTTGATATGCATTTCTCTGATTAGTGATACTGAGCATTTTTTTCATGAAAGTATTATCCTCTGTTCTCTGTTCTCCCTTAGAAGCTAATCCATTGAGTTTGTATATTTCAGTTATATTTTTTTATTTGCTTTTTGATGTCCTCAATTTATTTTTTAAGTTTATTCCAAGTACTTTTGTAAGTGTTCCTTGAAAAACTTTTATGATAATTACTTTAAAATCCTTGCCAGATTGTTCTAATATTTGTGTCACCTTGAAGTTCGTTCCAGTTGAATGTATTTTCTTATTCAGATTGATGTTGTAATTGATTTGTGAGTGAAACCTGGCAAGTTGGGGTATTATATTGTGGGACCCTGGATTTTAGGTAAATCTTCTGTTTAGTAGGCCTAGCGTGAAATTGCTTCACTGGGGCAGGGGTGTTGCACTATTACTGCAGCTGGAGTAAAAGTGTAGGTTTCTACCTCAGCCTCCATGAGTCATGGGAGAATAAACTCTTTATTACTGGTGAGTAAGATGAGAGTCAAGGCTCCTCAATAAGATGAAACACAATAGACTAGGAGAAAATATTTACAAAACAACATATCAAAGCAAAGGCCTTAAATCTAGATTATATAAAGAATTCTTAAAATTCAGTAGTTGAAAAACAATCTAAGTGTAAAATGTACATAAATTATGAGCAGATATTTTACCAAAGAAGAGATATAAATGGCAAATAAACACATTAAAAGATGTTTAACATCATTACTTTTAAGGAAATGCTCATTAAAATCGCAGTGAGATACCAGTGCACACCCATTTTAATAGTTTCAGAATAAGAAAAACAGTGATAATGCCAAATATTGACGATGATGCAGAGGAACTGACTCACTCATACTTTACTGGTTATTGTAAAATGTGATAAAATCTTTAGCCACTCTGGAAAGAGTTTGGAATTTTTTGAAAAAGTTCTACATAGAGTTGCTATATCATTTAGCATCACATTCTAAGGGCTTTATCCCAGAAAAATGAAAACTTAGGTCCATCTGAATAAGAATTCTCATAACATCTTTATTCAAAGTTACTCCCAAACTGGAAGCAAAAATATATCCTTCAGGGACTAATGATTGAATTAATTCTGATACATCTATGAAATAATACCTACCAATAAATATGAACAAGCCATTGGTATATGCAACAGCCTTGAATGTTCTTTATGAAAATTATTCTGAGTGAAACAAAGGCCAGTCTCAAAAGATATACTTTATTATTCCATAAATATTATGTTGTCAAAATGACCAAACTATACAGATCAAGAACAAATTAGTGGTTGCCAGGGCACAGAAACTAGAGTGGGATATGTTGGGATGGTCGTGAATATAAAGGAAGCAAAACGGAATTCATGTGGTAATGGGATAATTCTTTATCTTGAAGAATATCTTCGTGGTGGCTCTATGAATCTTATCGTGAGATGAAATTACATAGGGTCATATAGACAAATACCTTATATATAAACACATTAAAATGTTGAAAATAGAGTGCATTCTATATTTTAGGTAACAGTAATATGCTGGTGTTTAGTTCTTGGTTTTGATATTGAACTATAGCTATACATGACATCATTAGATGGTGAGTGAAAGTTACACAGGGCTCTTTATGATACTTTTGCATCTTACCATGAGTCTGTAAGTATTTAACAATAGAAGTTTTTCTTTTTATTAAAGATTCTTATTTTGGATAGTTTAAGTCTAGTTCTGCTAAAGAGAAAATATTAAGAGAAATCAGTATTTACTACTTCCCATCTACCATATATCTTAAGACCCATAGAATCTGCATATAATTACTAATGAGAATATCTGCACATAATAATACTTTTCATTTTGTAGTATATTTCTTTCCTTTTAATACACATTGTGTATTTCTTTCCCTTTAAAAAAATTTTTGGGGAAAAATGACAGTATTCGGTTAGAGATAGTGCCATATTTTTAACAAAATGCTAACTACACCTTTTCTGCCAATAGCACAGGACAAATGACATTTATGTGTTCTATATACTTACAGGGACATTCTCAAATTTGACCAAACCTAAAAGACATTTTCAAGAAGGTAAAATTTTGCAACTTTATTGGTGACACATTGGTTTCAGTCATCCCTCACTATAACTGTAGCAAAGATAATCAGTTGCTTTAGGAGAATTGCACGCTACCTGTAGCTATCACTTTTTATCCTTTAAAAACCGTATTGGAATGCACATGAAGGGATGCAGCCTCATTATATGGAAAACCTAAGATCTGCTCAGATTTATTTTAAAAATTACGTACTTTGCAACTATTCCTGATTTAAGCAATACATTTGAACGGACCCGTTTTAGGGGTCAAAAACTGGCTCCTCACTTGAAGCTGCTAATATACTCATAGCTGTGGTATACTAGAAAAAATTCTTACTTCTAATGTCAGACCTGGATTTAATTTTAGCCTTGCTGCTGACACAAGTCATTAAATGTCATGGAACCTGGGTTTCTTAGTCACTTCCTCATCACTGAGACATAGTACCTAACAGCCACAACCTAAAGGAGGAAGGGCTTATTTTGGTTCATGATTTCAGTCCATAGTCTTCTGGCTCCAAGGCACAATAGTATGGCAGAAGGTCAGAGCAGAGGAAAAGCTCTTCACTTCATGGTGGCTGGGAAACAGAAAACAAAGGGTGGCACCAGGGAGCGAGACATACCCTACTAGATTACATCCTCCTAGACCTGCCTCTTCTGACCAGGCCTTACCTTCCAGCAAGTCAGTTATACTGTCCCCACAATTCAGTCACCTTCTAAAGCTCTGTCTATGACCACTTGAGGCTCTTGGGTTTATATCCTCATCTGGATATACACCATTATCATTCAGCTATAGCAATGATACATATTTTATACAGTAGTGGTTTCTTTCAGCTCTTACCTTTATTAAAAGATACCTAACACCATAGTTATTGTTCACAAAATGTTTGTTTTGCCACAGAAAGTTTGTACTTAGGTTAAGAAGGCAGTGTAATTGTGTATATATGTGTGCAGAGTAAATGAGAAATATATCATAAAAGTGATAAATACGGATGTATAAACTGTAAAAGAAGACAGGAGTTGGAAAATGGAGAGTGCCAAACTGGCTGCAAGTTTGAAAGACAGCATTATGAAGGAAGTGGGATTCAAATTGTGCTTTCTAAGAGTGGACAGCTAGACAGGGGAAGGGAGACTATTTCAAGACAAGTAAGAGCCTCAGGTTGTATGGTTATAAGAGAAACAGAATTGAGGGATTTATACTGTTGAAGACCTACCATTTAATTCTATATTACATTATATTTTGGAAGTTAGAAAGCTTAAAGTTTTAAGAATTTATCTCATGTTACATTCTGGAAAGCATTCCAACAGGTACTGTATATTTTAATGTTATTCTTGAAAGCTGTTGCACCTGTTTGGTTGCTAAGAACTGTTGTGTGTACGTTACTTTGAAATCTTGATTGGTAAGATTTACATAGCTTCTGTCAATTATTGCTAAGTGGACTTGTTGGTAATAAATCCTTAGGTTTAGCAAAGATGAGTGACCCAGTAATAGAATGAGAACTGGGATTTCAGTATTATTATTAAGTCATCTAGAACTGTTTTCACTTGATATTAATGTATATAAATTGAATGTCATCAGAAAAACTTTGGTAGTCTACTAACTTCCTATTCCTAAATGATGGTTGAGGTTTTTGATACTAGAATTGCAGAAAATATAGGATGTGAATGATTTCATATTCGCCTTATATAGTATTATACTCTTAATTTTGGTATTTGCTATCCTCATGGAGTTATAGGTTGATGAAAGTTTAGTTTGGTATTCAGTGGGTTTTGTTTTGTGTAGCATTGGACCAAAGAAAGTTTGTGGGGCAAATAGAGCTACAGTTTTGTTTTGTTTTCCAATAGTGGGTCAACCTCAAATTTTTGTAATTTATCAGTTATTGAGATCCTTTTTATCATATAATTTCAGTTTACCATTTTTATAAAAAAATTTGCCTTAAATATTTGTTGAATACCTACTATATACAAGGTATTATACTCAGCATGGGTGGGACAAAAAGAGCTGCATGATACAGATCCTCAGGATTGTATTAGGAAAGGAAAATACATACACAAATGATTATGATATAATGCAGTTTGTCTGTAAGTGCCATCAGCTTTGTATGAGTTCAGCTTTCAGAAAGAGAGCATTTTTGAATGGCAGACCAACAATGATTTCATAGAATCAGGAGCATTTGAGTAATTCACATAGTTTATAAATGGATATTATCATTACAGTATAATATAGAAATCCTGAAATGAAAACTCTCCCCTACATCAAAGATGCTAGATTTTATCTTCGTACCAATAAATGGTTAATATCTAAAAATTACCATAAATCTAATTTAAGGTACATATTTGTATTTTTATAAATAAACATTTTACATATGATGGGTAATTATTGTTCTTATGTTTTTAGGCCATGAATATCATCGTTCCTTTCATGTTTAAATATGCTGTAGATAACCTCAACCAGATGTCGGGAAACATGCTGAACATGAGTGATGCACCAAATACAGTTGCAACCATGGCAACAGCAGTTCTGATTGGCTGTATGTGTGATTCTTTAATCTGCCTACAGGTGTTGACTTTCTTCAGCAAGGTTTCATCATATTTGAGCAGATGACCTTTTCACTGCAAACACAACTTAGCATTTTGGATGTTTATTATTTTATGTGAGATTCCTTTTGATAAGTATTTTTAAAAATTTCATTGTATAATATACTTTGTAAAAATTTCATGGTAACAGTAGCATTTTCCATATTCTAGAGAATAATAATATAAGATACTAAATTTATAAGAACCTTTCCAGTGTGGCTGTATATTTTCTTGCTGGTACTATTAGCTATTAAATAGAAATAGCTAAGTAATGATGTGCATGCATATTACTGCTTTGTTAAAATATATTTTAAAAACTGTGGCACAGATCTATAGTTTGAAAAGAGTAAAATATAATGTTATGTGGTTCCATGCATTAAAAAAGATATTTTTTAAGACTCTAGAGACATGTGTAAGGATATGCTTTTTGTCAACCCTTTTCACTTTCAAACTCTCAGTCTTATCATTTGTTAGTTGAGAGAATTTAATTAAATAAAATATTCAATCAGTACTATACATTTATTCACAATAAGGCCATATGGGCAATTGTTTATTAAAAGTATTTTAACTGGAAAATATCTTGAATCTAGGAGAAGATAACACTGAAAAAGATTCATGATAATGCCAAGATTAGTATTAATTAGGGTAGATAATTTCTTGGTTTCTTTAAGTGTAAATATACTGTGATGTATTGACTGAATTACTTTGTATATTTTCCGAGCTCTTACCATTTTACATTCTTGTGATTCTAATGTTCTTACACCCCATATTTTTCTTTTTAATGTATTGTTAGATGGTGTGTCAAGAGCTGGAGCTGCCTTTTTTAATGAAGTTCGAAATGCAGTATTTGGCAAAGTAGCCCAAAATTCAATCCGAAGAATAGCCAAAAATGTCTTTCTTCATCTTCATAACCTAGATCTTGGTTTCCACCTGAGCAGACAGACAGGAGCTTTATCTAAAGCTATTGACAGAGGGACAAGAGGTATCAGTTTTGTCCTGAGTGCTTTGGTGTTTAATCTTCTCCCTATCGTGTTCGAGATGATGCTTGTCAGTGGTGTTCTGGTAAGTAAAGCATATTTCATAGAAAGCTTTTTTCTTACATTCTTAGTAACAATAGAGTATTTAAAGCTATTGTGTTGTTGCATGCTGTTGCATGGGTTTGAAAGTGAAATTCTGTGATACCAAAAAGATTAAGCAGTTTATTTACTTATTTTGCCTCCAGCTTTAAGGCATGGCCCAAATTCTTTATCATGTTGTTATTGTAAGTAACTGGTTAGTGCTACACATACATCAGGATTAACTGGTGTTGTGAATTGTTTTTAGCCAAGATTTTTGTATATGGCATTGGTCTGATATGCTCATAATGCCTGCTTCTACTAGCCATTTTAGAGCAATTTCATTTTTTATAGTTAAAAGCATGTATGTGTATACTTTTTATCCCTCCTCAGCCTATTGTACTGTTTAAGTAATAGCATCTTATCGTAGTATAAATGTGGCAACTACAGGTTGGCTTTCTTTTCATGTTACCTAAAGTAGACTATCTGAGGCATTTGACTTTTGATCCATTATTGACATATCCAACTTTTAACCATCATATTACCACTTTTGACTGAGATTTGCTATTGTATATTTTAACCTGATTGATAAGAACAATGATTTTTCTCATTTCTTCTTTGACTTGTTTTTCCAGTACTACAGATGTGGTGCCCAGTTCGCGTTGGTAACCCTAGGAACACTGGGTGCATACACAGCATTCACAGTTGCAGTCACACGGTGGAGGTATGGTATTTTCCAGAAGCCAGTTGAAGCTGAGAAATTAGTTATGCTTTTATAACATACATTTCATGCCTGTGTAAATCTTTGTCTTACAGAACTAGATTTAGAATAGAAATGAACAAAGCAGATAATGATGCAGGTAATGCTGCTATAGACTCACTGCTGAATTATGAAACTGTAAAGGTAATACATTTCATTATACTTTACTGTGCCTTTCAGACATCAATAAGGATTGTTCTGCCATTTAATTTAATAGGTGCTGTAAATTAACAGGTTCATATTAAGATAGTATCTCTAGGTGTTGTGGCGTTACACTACTTTGTTTTTCTTTTACTTAGAAATTGCCTTGTCTTTCCTTCTCAGTTTTTGTTTGGCAACATCAGAATTTTACCTTCTGAATTAATTTTTAAAAAATCATAAATATATGGTTAGTATCTTGCCTCAGGAAGAACATTAAGCTAATCAAGCTGGTATGTAAGTTCTTGACCTTCCTTCTAACCCTCAGAGTGTCTAGCAGAGTGCTTTTCATTAATCCTTTCATCTATATGTTCATTTTTCCATTTTTCAAATAGTTACTGAATTACTCGTATTTGCTAAGTACTATACTAATTGCCGTGAGGGGGCAGGGTGGTAAAAGAAAGTGATTATGTTTGTAATCACTGCCCTCTCTGAATGTTATATACTGCAGGAATTAAAGTAAATATGCAGATGACTAAGCAAGAAGAATTAAAAGAGTGAGGGCAGTAAGAGCTGCCAGTTCCAAATCTCAGAGAGTCAGGAAACATTTTTGTGAAAGAAGTATCATTGAAAGCTTTTTTTTTTAGATCTGGGTTCAAATTAGCTAGAAATTCAGTGAATGTTTGTTGGATGAATTTTGTCGCCTTTTCAAATACAATCCATTATAGAAAACTGCAGAAGTACCATATTCTAATGTATTGAAAGTCAGTTTTTAAAATGAAATCTCCACTACAAAATGTAGTCATACGTGAAGTCTGATGAAACATATACTAATCACTTTAAAGAATTATACTTGCCCATAGTTCCTATTCTTACATAGTTGTATATTTTGTAGTATTTTAACAATGAAAAATACGAAGCACAGAGATATGATGGATTTTTGAAGACATATGAGACTGCTTCACTGAAAAGTACCTCTACTCTGGCTATGCTGAACTTTGGCCAAAGTGCTATTTTCAGTGTTGGTTTAACAGCTGTAATGGTGCTTGCCAGTCAAGGAATTATGGCAGGTAATGGACTGCGATTATCACATTGGTACACATACTTTTAACTTTTACAAATAAAAATTAATAAAAGGAATGTATATGTTATTATTATTTATTAGAATGTTCAGCAAACTGCTTTAGCATTTTTGGAGTGTTTTCCTTTTTGTATCAGAATGTGTTTTACTGAATGATTGCTTTGTAGGTCTGCAGCCTTTTTCAAGAGCAACTATTTTTTTCCTTTTAATATCAAGTATATCTGATTTCTGTTCTAGATCTGGAAAGCAGTGCCATTAATTCAGTCTAAAGGACTAAAATAAAAGCTGTCTTGTTTCTGGAATTAGCAATAACCTTATAGTCTATTAGTTTTTCATTTGTATAGCATTTCAGAAGTAAATAATGTCTGTGTCCCTTTTTCCAATCCCCCCCCACTCATTTAGAACTTATTTACTTACTGTAACATTAGTAATGAGGTTTATCATTGTCAGGCATGATATGCATTTGCTGAAATTTTTAAATATGTACTATTATAAAAAATTTCTATTTTACATTACAAAGAAACTATGGTTTGTATTTTAGGGAAGAAAGGACAGATTTTTAAACCTTCCATTTCTCTCACTTAAAGCATTCTTTGTATGTTACATATAATGTATACATGGGCTTTTTCCACTCTGCTTACCATATAACCAAGATCCCTATATTACCTAAATCATAGATTCAAATGCTTTGCAATTGAGTTGGTTTGAAAGTTGTTGATTATGTGTAGTTTGAACTGGATTTCATAATAATAAGCTGTAATATTTTCTGTGTTCATCTGGGAGTTCTTAACATTCATCTAAAATATTTTTCCCCCTTTCTGCCAATTGCATATTAAGGTACCCTTACTGTTGGAGACCTAGTTATGGTGAATGGACTGCTTTTTCAACTTTCATTACCGCTTAACTTTCTGGGAACTGTATATAGAGAAACTAGACAAGCACTCATAGATATGAACACTTTGTTTACTCTACTCAAGGTAGACACCCGAATTAAAGTAAGTAATTGATGCAGTACCTTTCTAAAAGTATGTAAGCATCATTCCATTAATATTGGATTATTCTAGGGGAATATTTTATATTATCATGTTAGACTAATTTCTGTTACAGGAATTGAGGCTGCCATATGTATTGAGGTTGTTATAGCTTTTACTTTTATGGTAAAAAATTACAATGTTAGCTAAGAATGTTCTACCTAGAAACTACATTTTGTTTAATAATTTATACTGGATTCTCTTTTGCTAATAATGATATGAAATATATGATTACCTCTCCTCACATCTTCTACTCTGTATTCCCCTGGTCACCATCCCTCCCTTTACCCTCCACTAAATGTTCCCAGCAATGTAAAAACATTCATGATTTTTTACCTCAGCAGTGAGGACCGGGGAAAAAAAGTCTTTATATGCATGCTTGACAGTATTCTAATTCCACTTATATGAACTTCCTCCTTCCCTGTTGTTTTCCTTTTTCTCTCTCTGAAAAAATTGTCTACATAGTTATAATCAATGTACTGTGTAAAGTGATTTTCTTCTTTCTTTTCCCTGCTAGGACAAAGCATTGGCATCTCCACTTCAGATCACACCACAGACAGCTACAATTGCCTTTGATAATGTGCATTTTGAATACATTGAAGGACAGAAAGTCCTTAGTGGATTATCTTTTGAAGTCCCTGCAGGAAAGAAAGTGGCCATCGTAGGTGGTAGTGGATCAGGGTGGGTAATTTAGTTACTTGTATAATTCTACATTGTTGATCAATAATTCTGAATGTGATTTTCTTTATCCTAATGCGATGATTACTGTGGTTTAAAATGGGGGTTCTTTAATGCCAATAGGAGCTAAATAACCTTTCCTAATCTCCAATTTCAGGAAAAGCACAATAGTGAGGCTGTTGTTTCGCTTCTATGAGCCTCAGAAAGGTAGTATTTACCTTGCTGGTCAAAATATACAAGAAGTGAGCCTGGAAAGCCTTCGGAGGGCAGTGGGAGTGGTACCTCAGGTATTTAAAAACAGAAAAATTCAAGTTTTGGAAGATTTATTGGATTGGGATACATGTGACTAGAATAATTTGAATCTAAAGAGTCAGCATATGCTAATAAAGTGGATAGTGTTGGCGCCCACAGGGGAAGCTCTTTTATATAAAGAACTTTTAAAGGAGGGAAAAGGAAAAAAAAAACTTGAATGGGAAATCTGTATAGTAGAAAAATTTCTAAGTTCTAGAATGATAGCATAGTAAGTGGAAAGAGCATAGAACTAGAGTCCAACAGACTTGGACTCTAATCCAAGCTTTAAGCCTTAAAAGTTCTATGGCCTTGGCCCTCAGTTACCTCATCTCTGAAATAGGAGTACCATTTACTTTATAGGGTAAGATTTTTATTACAGATTAGTGTTAGTATGTATAAAGTACCAAGCACAATATCTATCATGTAATTTTTCAGTAAACCGAAACTATTATTGTAATTTTGAAGAACTTTTGACATAGTGAATTTATAAATATCAAGTAGTTTGTCTGCTACCCTCAAGTTTGTATGCCTTTTTCGCCACTATGCCCTCAGTACCAAGCACAGTGTCTGACCCAGAGTAATCATTTAATATTTGCCAAGTGACTTTGTGTGTGTGTTGGGGGGAGGGATTCAAAGTAAGAACCAAGAAGATAAGAGGTAGATAGCCTTATAAGATGTGATAGTTTCTTATATAGTAAGATTATAGAGACCTTGGAATTAGTTGCAGCTAGTATTTATTAGAAAGTTGATTCGTGGAGCCAGAATCAAATCCCTGGGAAAAAAGACCAAAAAAATGGGGAAAGAGGAAGGGAGACAGTATGAGAAAGGAATTGGACAGGGATATGTAGCTTGTAAAAGGCCTCCAGCATAAGACACTCTTTTCTTTCCTCTCTTTTCACTGAGAATCCCAAATTTTAGTGGCCAAGAGTCACCTAGGGAGATTATTGAAATTCTAGATCTTTTTCAGACTCTCTAATTCTGAATATGGGGGCCAGTGTGATACCCAGAAATCTGCATTTTGAATATGTAACCTAGGTAATTCTAATAGACGGTTTGTAGCCTATATGTTAACAAATAATGACCTAAACTGTTTGTCCGGTAAGCTAGATTCTGGACTGTGACAGGGCCAGAGTTATCATTCATATAACTAGATTCCTGTCATTCTCTTGGGTGCTGTAATGATTACTCTCATCTCTTTGAAAAATAAAAAGTTTTATTCACAAGGGAAAATTATTTAAGATCAATAAACAAAAGATACTCATCCTCACTGTAGAACTGGAGACCTTAGCAATATATATGAACAAGATAACCATTTTTTACCTGTCAGATTCACAAAGTTTTTTTTATTTTAAAGATTAAAAAACTAGGGGCTGGGGATTTAGCTCAGCGGCAACGCGCCTGCCTGGCAAGCGTAAGGTCGTGAGTTCGGTTCCTGGTACCGGAGAAAAACCAAAAAAAAAAAAAAAGGTTAAAAAACTAACAGAACACAGATTCACAAAGATTTTGAAATTCAAAATATCCAGGTTGGGCAAAGCTGTATAAACAGACAGTCTGTTCTTTTGCTAGTGGAAGGGTATAGCTTTCTTGGTAAGAAAATTGGGAATATTTATGAAGTAGCTGAGAAGTATTGATACTCTTTGTTCTAGTAATTCTAACTCTAGGAAATTTTAGTGAGGAATTAAACCAATATTAACAACTTTGTATGTATAATAATCCTCACCTATAAAAAAATAGTTGAAAATAATATAAATGTTCAAAACATAACTAGATGGTTAAAACATTATAGTACCAAATGTCATGCAGCCATTTATAAATGCTGTGTTGTTAAACAGTGCTGATTCAACAATATGCAGAGTCAAAATTTGTTGGAAAAGAGGATATCAAACAAAGTATCCCTGTTTTTAATAGTAGTTTAATACTTTTGCTAGTAGAGATAACAGATAAGAGTAAATATGCCAAAATGTTAATAGTTTTTGCTGTATGCTGTGATTATAAATTATTTCACTTTTTTAATTTATAAATTATATTTATTTAATGTATATAATATGATGTTATTAGATACCTATAAATAGTAAAGTGGGGAGGCTGAGTTAAGAGGATCACAGTTTCCAGTCCAGCCTGGGCAACTTAGTGACTTAGCAAGATGCTGTCTCAAAATTAAAGATTAAACATTAAAAATATGGCTGAGGATGTAGCTGAGTGTAAAAGCCCTATGTTCAATCCACAATACCCTCACCCCCAATCCTTTTTAAGTAGTAAAGTAGTTACTGTAGAGCGGTAACATGTTCATCATCTCACATAGTTACACAATTTTTATGTGTGGCAATAGTAGCTAAAATATCATTTAGCAAAAGTCATGAAGAAAGTCCAATATTTAATTGATTTTTATTTTATTGTTTTGTATTTTCAAATTTTTCAGTTAGGATTTGTTAACTTTCTTTGGAAAACAGTATACTTTAACATAGTATGGTATATTAGAGTAGTATAATAAACTTCATTTTCTGTGTTTCAAATACAATATCAAAACTTCTTAGAAATATAGGAAATCATTTTCAACCTTAATAATTAGAGAAGTGATACTTTAAACAAAAATCATATTCCACTTCTAAAAGTAGCAACAACTAAAATTTATTATTATCCAGGTGTTCTGAAGGTATATAAAATTACATGAAGAACTGGCAACCTCAGACACTATTGAATGGAGTATATTCATACACTATTCTTCTTTATGGAAGACAGTTGGGCAATATTATCAAGGGGTAAATGTGTATTTGCTTTTTGACCCATCAGTCTACTTCTAGGAATACTTCTTGCAGAAAAATATGTAGGTGAATATCTCATATATGTAACAATGTTTTATTCCAACATTATACTAGCAAGAATGTGCTAATTACATTAATGTTCCTTAATAGGGGAATGGATAAATTGACATATATCTATAGTATGAAATATAAAAGTGTTAAAAAGAACTAAATATGTTTCTGTTATTTACATGGACAATCTCCAAAATATGTTAAGTGGAAATAGCAATTTGCAAAAAAATATATGTATAGAATGTCCCCATTGTGCTGGGAAAAAAAAGCATATATTTAGGCATATAGTGAATTTTTTTGGGTCTTCTGTGTAGAGTACCCTGTCATCCACAAATAATGATAATTTAACTTCTTTCCTTCCTATCCTTATTCTTTTTATTTTTTTCTCTTGTCTAATTGCTCTCGCTAAAATTTCCAGAACTATGTTGAATAAGAGTAGAGACAGTGGACGTCCTTGTCTTGTTCCTGATTTTTAAAGTGAAAGCTTCTAGTTTTTGTCCATTTAGTATGATGTTGGCTATTGGTTTGTCATAGTTGGCTTCTATCAGATTGAGATAAAGACTTATCTATTCCAATTTTCTGTAGGGTTTTTATCATGAATAGGTGCTGGACTTTTTCAAAAGCTTTTTGTGCATCTATTGAGGTGATTATATGGTTTTTGTCCTTGGCTCTGTTAATATGGCATATTACATTTACTGATTTACATGTGTTCCACCATCCCTGCATCCCTTGGTGAATCCCACTTGGTCATGGTGTGTAACCTTCTTGATGATTTGCTGCATTCTGTATGCCAATGTCTTACTGAGGATTTTTACGTCTGTGTTCATTAGGGAGATTGACCTGTAGTTCTCTTTATTAGTTGGGTCCTTCTCTGGTTTTGGTTTCAGGGTAATGGTTGCTTCCAGGAATGAATTTAGGAGTATTGCTTTTCTTTCATTTTCATTAAAGAATTTGAGAAGAAACACTATTAGATCTCTAAATTTCTTGAAGAATTCAGCAGTGACTCTATCAGGACCTGGACTTTTCTTTGTTGGTAGGTTTTTAATTATATCTTTAGTTTTATTGACTGATATTTAGGATTTTTAAATCTTCTTAAGTTAGCTTTGGTAATTCATTTATATCTAAGAATCTGTCCATTTCTTCTGTATTTTCCACCTTATTAGAATACAGGTTCTCAAAGTAGGTATAGATGATCTTCTGGATTTGTGCAGGGTTCACTGTGATTTCACCCTTTTCATTCCTAATTGTATAGATTTGAGTCTTTTCTTTCCTATTTTGGATAAGGTTAGCTAAAGGTTTGTCAGTTTCATTTAATCTTTCAAAGAACCAACTCTTTGATTCATTGATTCTTTGTATTGTTTTCTTACTCTCCAGTGCATTAATTTCTGCTCTGTTCTGTATAATTTCCTCCCTGTAAGAGCCTTGAAATTGGCCTGCCCTTCTTTCTCTAGAAGTTTGAGGTTCAACGTTAAGTTGTGCATTTGCACTTGCTCTTTTTTCCTGATGTATTGCTATGAATTTCCCTCATAGGACTGCTTTCATTATGTCCCATAAGTTCTGGTATGTTGTATTGTCATTATCATTTAATTGTAGAAACTAATTTCTGCTTTAATTTTATCTTGACCCTTTGGTTGTTCAGGAGGGTGTTATTTAATTTCCCAGTGTTTATGAAGTTATTGTGGTTTCTTTTGCCATTGATTTCCAATTTCATTGCACTGTGGTTGGATAATATGCATGGGATAATTTCAGTTCCTTTGCATTTAGTTAAGCATGTTCTATGGGCAACTGTGTGGTCTATTTTAGAGAACATCCCATGTGCACCTGAGAAGAATGTGTATTCTAATGTTGTAGGGTAGAACACTCTATAGACATCTACTAAGTTATTGTTCAGAAGTTTGATTCAATTCTAATAGATCATTGTTGATTTTTTGTCTAGTTTATCTGTCTTGTTGTGACAGTGGGGTATTGAGATCCTCCAATACAATTGTATAAGTGCTTATTTGATTTTTCATGTCGGTTAATATTTGTTTTACATAGGTAGGTGCACTGGTATTTGTTCCATATATATTTATAATTCTTATCTCTTCTGTTGTGATTTGTTGGGCTCTCAGTGTACCACAGGGAGGAACAGTGGTGGGAATGAGGAAAAAATAGACAAGAGACGAGAGCTGAGTCAGGTAAAGGTCCTCCCTCTCCTGATGGGAGGAGAAGAACTGAACAAGAACAGTAGGGGTGTTTATTTATACTTTCGCAATGTTACTATCATGACACAAGATTGTCTACTGACTAATTAGTGAAATTATCCAGGGAGGATGTCCTTCTCAAGACTGATGTAGCTTGACTGCTTCAGGCACTCTGGCTCTGTCTTGCCCCTGCACATATGACAGATCTCCAGCTTCAGCTGCTCCTTATATCTTCCTCTTGGATTGTTCCCTTTACAAGGATATACTGACTTTCTTTGTCTCTCTTAATCAGTCTTGCCTTGAAATTCACTTTGTTTGCAAATAGGATAGCTACTCCTACTTTTTTCTGGTTCCTGTTGCATGGAATATTGTTTTTTATCCTTTGACTTTCATCTGTGAATTTCTTTTTGAATTAAATGTATTTCTTTTAAGCAGCATATTGTTGGTCTTGCTTCATGGTCCATTCTGCCAGTCTGTGTCTTTTGATCAGTGAATTGACACTATTAACATTGATGGTTATTGACTTATCCTTGTCAGGTTGTTTTCCTGTTGTTGGCTTACCCTTTTTTCCCTCCTTTGTTTTATTGTTTGTCTTGCCTGGTAGATTCCTTCTGTTGGGGTTCATAGAGTTGTAGTCCTTGTTGTCTTTTTCTAGAATGTCCTTCAGAGCATTTTGGAGTGCTACTTTGGTGGCTCTAAGTTTCTTCAGGTGTTCTTTGTCATGGAAGTACCTTATTTCTCCATCAATTTTGAAAGATAGTTTTGCGGGTTACATCAATCTAGCTTGAAGGTTGGTTTCCTTTAGAACTTGAAATACTTCACTCCACACTCTCCTTGACTTGAGGGGTTTTTTTTTGTTTGTTTTTTGTTTTTTTGGTTTTTCTCTGGTACTGGGAATCGAACTCACAACCTTGCGCTTGCCAGGCAGGTGCTGTGCCGCTGAGCTAAATCCCCAGCCCCAGACTTGAAGGTTTTTGATGAGAAGTCAGCTGTGATTCTGATGGGCTTTCCTTTATAGGTGATTTGTTTCTTTTCCCTAACAGCTTTTAATATTCTATTCTTGTATTGAATTTATGGAATCTGGATTATGATATGCCTGGCTATAGATTGTTTTTAATCATGGCTAATTGGAATTCTATGTACCTCACTTAATATATGTTAAATTCTTTTTCCCTACCAGGGAAGTTTTCTGCCATGATATGTGTGAAGTTTTTTTTTGTATCACTTGTGCTATTTCTTTTTCATTGACTCCAGTCAATCTTAAGTTTTTCTTTTTTGCATCATCTAGCAACTGCTGGATTGATTTCTCATGATCCCTTGCTATCTTTAAGAAATCTTTCTTTAAATGATCACTAATGGCAAACCTGTCTTCTGTATCTGAGATTCTGTCTTCACGTTGGTTCATTCTGCTATGGACACTTTCAGTGGAATTTTTCTTTGCCTGGATATCTGCTTGAATCTGTCTTACGGATTTCATTTATTTCCTGTGTTAGGCATTCACGGCTTCCATAATTTTCTTAAGCTTCTGTATTTTTTTATGTTTCTGCTCTAGAGTCACTAAGCATGGTTTCCATTGTGGCAGTTATTTTAGAAATTATTTCTGATTTGATTTGCTCTAAAACCTCATTTAGTTGCTGTGTTGTTACCAATTCAGTGAGGCCAGGTGGGTGACTTTCAGATTGTCCCACCTCATTACCCGCTAGGTTTGCCTCTGGTGAACCAGATTTCTGGGGTTGCATCTTGTCTTCTCATTTTCTTTTCCTTTTTAAAGTTTAATTCCTGGGTTGATGCTTATAAATTGCCTATGCTGAGTTGCTTTATTGCTAGTATTTATAACCGGTAGGAAGTGACTACTTCTCTGGGGTGTCTTCTAGGTGTAAGTGATTTTTGGCTTTTGAGTCTGTTGCAGGATCCTATCTCTTCAGTTTGTTTGGAGATGAGCAGTTGCTGCATGCTTGACCCAGCCCCTGGTTCTTTGGCACTGTCCCATGGTATTTTCTATGACCCTTAGTCAGTCTCAGTCTTGGTATACCAGGAAAAACATCTGGTTAGAACAATTAATTATGTTACTTTTGGCTAAAATGGTACCATCAATAATAACAGTAGCATCAAACAGGGCGTAGAAAATGACAAACTGTAGTATCCATTATTTTGCCACCTTTAACTGTATGAATTAGATTTGTGATTATATAATAAAATCTAAAACAAACCAGAAAATTATACGCAGTGTATAAGTCTCTAGTATGTCAGTGTTACCCTCAATGGTTAAAATTTAAAAGGAGTTAGGGAAAAATAGAGAAGTAAAAGAAGAGGTAGAGATGAGAAATAAGGCTGGAGGACAAAGGGAGATCATGCTACGTGGGGAACTGGTGCAGAAGACAGGAGGAAAAGAGAAGAAAGAAATAAAAGAAAGAACAGAACAACCACAAAGAGACTAGAAACCATGTTCATACTCATAAAAGCATGTTTAGTCATATACATGTGTAGAAAATGTCTGCAATTACACACAGCAAATTATTCGTGGTGACTAGTTCTGAGAAAACAAATGGAATTACAGGGATGAGTGTTAAAAAGGGCTGCTGGTTTTAATTTTTATGCCTTATGTCTTTATAATTGTTCAAATTTTTGTAATGAACTTACATATATGTGTGTATATATAAAATTTCAGGATGCTGTCCTCTTCCATAATACTATTTACTATAACCTCTTGTATGGAAATATCAGTGCTTCACCTGAAGAAGTATATGCAGTGGCAAAATTAGCTGGACTTCATGATGCAATTCTCCGAATGCCACATGGATATGACACCCAAGTAGGGGAACGAGGACTCAAGCTTTCAGGTAATCAGAAGTTTTAGATCTACTTCCTACTCCTTATTCCCTTCAGAGTAATTTGTTGGAGCCGTTTATATTATTGATATAAATCCAGGTTGATCTGCTTAATTTATAAATCATGATCTTCATATTAAAGGAAAGCCAAAGTTATTCATTTGGGAAAGTAGTAAGGATAAGGAGAAGTAATTTCATAGTAGTGTATCTCTCATAATTTATTAGGGGATGTTTAAATACTTTAGGCCTTTTATACTTGATCCCATTCTTTTTGTAGTCACTGGTAGCTTCCTGATAAAGGATAAAGTGTTTCTTTGCCCCAAATGATTTGAATTCCAAAAGGATATTGATATCTAATGCTTTCAGGTTTGTTGTGTTTTTTTTGTTGTTGTTGTTGTTGTTATTGGGAATGGAACTCAGGACTTTATGCTTGCCAGGCAGCCCCTTGTGCCACTGAGCTATATCCCTGGCCCTCTAATGCTTTAAAGTACATATTGATGAGTTTACACAAATGTACTACATCCTCTATTTACATTCGTCATTCTAGTTTAGGGAAGAAATGTATAGATTAAGGGTGAGGATAAGGCAAAAATGGAATAAAGAATACCCTGCATAAATTTTAATGAATCCTGCTTCCTTTTCTTTATACACCAGCTTCATATATTTACATTTATTAGAAACATACTATGTATGTCCTAATGTGCTAAATTATTTGTTAAAAAGATGAAGAATAAACAGGCCTGATGTCAACTATTGTTTTATGTATCTAGTAATGACTTTAGACCTGCACGAGTTCCAGTGATGAAAACTTTTTTAATTTTTATTTTTAAAAATTTTTTTTTATTTTTAAAGATAAAAAAACTAACAAAACAACAATAAAGGCAAAATCAAAACTGCACAAAACATGACCTGAAAACAAAATAATAGGAATTAATAATGGTTGCTACATACATACTGTTACCTTCAACCAAGTTACTCAGTCCACCAGACATAAGAATGTAAGACTGATCAAACAAAGAGAGTAACAAGTAATAAAAAAAACATTGGAAATGATGCAGAGCTTCACCATACAAGATGATAGGAGTTCAACAGTGGTTCTTGTACTGCATATTGTTGTTTTTAGATCAGTTGTTCCAGTTACCAGATTCAAGCCTGCAAAACTGGTCAAGAACAAAGAAATTCTAAGCATTGAACATTCCTTTCAATAAGCCACATATATATATAAATTTTATTTTTCATTTTAAAGAGAAAAGGAAAAAAACCCAAAATAATGAAAACAAATACATAAACAAAGCAGCACAGGGAACAATAAAAACGATACAGAATTTCAAAAAAAGATGGTAGGATATTAATAGTGGTTGTTATGTTACATAATATTATCTTCAAAATGGTTGCACAGATAACTAGATATGGGCATGTAAGATTGATCAAACAACTATACATTAACAGTTCCTTTCAATAAACCAACAAATAAAAATAATGTTTTTGTCTTTTGGAACTTTTTTTTTCTTTACTTCACTAGATATTTTTGCTGTTTACTTAGGGTATAACTATTTCCTAAATATTTACTTCTATATTTAGGAATCCATTGTACTAGGAGTCCGTTCAGATCTAGTCTAGATTCTGCTAAAACTTGCTCTGTGACCTTGAAAAAATCATTTTACCTTTCTGGGCTTCTGCTTTTAGTTTTTAACAGTCTTTTATGCTAGAATCCTATAACAAATACCCAACGAGAAATAAGAAGTAGCTAGTACATACAATTAATTTTGAAGAATGCTGTGAAAATACTAGCTTTCTATCAATAAACATCCTTTAAAATCTGGCTGAATAGTAGTTTTTAATGTTAAGATGTAAATTTCGATATTTATAGTTTCTTACTGTCAAGCATTCAGGGTTCTAATGAATTTGATTTTGGCTTTGTTGATTGTCAAATATTGACTTTTTTATCTGAGAATGCTGTTTCTCAAGAGTGTCTGTGATATAAATTAACTTATATAATGGGCATATTTCTGGTAACAATCACAGTTGTTACCTCGCTGCCTCATTTTCATACATTTCACCTGCCACAAAGTCAGATTTCAGTATTACATATATATTCAAGGTAATGTAGTTTGTCAAAGGATATCATACATGAATTTAGCTTCTACAACACTATAAAATGAGCATTGATCAGGAGTACAAATAAATGTTAACTGTTTTACTTGGTGGATGTAGTCAATATAAATACTATAAACAAAATATGATGTATGATAAAAAATGCAGTGAGTGTTTAAATTTTAGAAATATACTAGAGCAAAATACACAGTGACACTAACTCTCTCAAAATACTCCTCTCTTGCTTCTAACACACTCATCTCATTGTCCTTGTCTCTGTCTGAAAGTTCTGGAAGTCCTCTTTTGTGAATCTTTATTTGCACTATTGTAGCTGCCTCCGTGTCCTGAATTGATACAAAATGTTTACCTCTCATGGTTATAAGAGCCAGAAGTCACAGGGTGCCACATCCAGTGAAGAAGCGGGATGAGAATACACCATAAGGTTTTTATTTCTTTTACCAGGAATCGAACTCAGGATCTTGCACTTGCCATGCAGGTGCTTGTACTGCTGAGCTACATCCCCAGCCCACCATAAAGTTTTTATGAACCTGCTTTTTTGTTGTGTGGCACTTGTCAGCGGCATTCACTGTATTTTGATCTCACCTTATGAAAACACTTACAAAGGACAGCTCATTTCCCTGTTATGTTTCTCTAAACTAAATTTTTTTTCCAGGAGGAGAAAAACAAAGAGTGGCAATTGCAAGAGCCATTTTGAAGAACCCCCCAGTCATTGTCTATGATGAAGCCACTTCCTCATTGGATTCAATTACTGAAGAGGTAAAGGATATGAAGAAAATATAGAGCATTTTAATGTTTAGCTTTTTTCCTTGGAAGTTTCAGTAAAATATCGACATTTCTTTGTATTTTAAATGAACTTCAAAAGAAGGTGCTGTAGAGCAAAGTACCTAACCTTTTTTTTCCCTCATATAACAAATATTGATGCTAGGAATGCCAGGTTGCATTGAATTGGATACCATATTGTTAAGTCTGTTTGGAAATGTGCCTTCTTTTTGAATTGTTGGTCCCTTATACTGTTATTGCATTACCCTTCCTTGTATCTTGTAAAGGTGTAAATTGCCAAATATGCCGACAAGGAAGAGGGTTTTAGTGTTTCTCCTGTTGCTGTTTACATTATTACAAGTCAGGTGATTGTGACATTTGTGACACAGTACATACTAGGAAGCCTTTCTTTCATCTTGGAGCAGCTCATTGAGATGCAAGTCAAGCACACACAACCATCAGTGCTGGTATCAATTTGTATTCATTCTGTAGGAAGTGTTGTGAAACAACAAGAGATTGTGACACTGTGTTGTACAATGTATAACATTTTCACATTGCATATGAAAGTCAACAGCACTGATAATTTCGTGAACAATTCCCTTTAATCAAGAACTTTTAATTTAGTGAGTAGTATAAACATAGTATTCAAAGGTCTACTTCCAGCTTTAGAGGCTATATGACATAATATTTGCATATGGACATAAGTCTAAGGGCATATTATTTGATCAGCAGCATACCTTAAACAGTTTAACTGCAGAACAAATTGATTAGCATGAGGATTTCTTATATCTAGAGTGAATTCTAAGCACAACCAGATCCCATTCATGAGAACAGTAAGAACCTACTTCAAAGAACTTGGTACCTAAAAGTTTGTCCTACTGCCACAGATTTAAAGTCCTATTGTTGCCAGCTTTTAGGGTGCTGTAGTCCCCTTCTAGAGGTGATTTCTAGGTTCTTTCTGTCCTGAACAAAGAATTGATGAAGACAAGCACAAAAGGTAGCAAGGTTTTGCATTTATTAATGGTAGGAAAAGAAACATGCTCTGCAGAGCAAGTGTGAGCCAATTAAAAAGAGGAAAAGGGTGAGAGCTCTGTAAGGTGAGACTAGACTCTGTGGAAGAGGGAACACAATGGCCAAGAGCTCAGTGGTGGCTGTCTTTTGTATCTCCCACTCCTCACTATCCTATCCAAAACCTGCTTGAACTCTTCCAAGAATTGAACATAATATTCTCCGACGAGTCCCAGGGACAGGATTTGGCACCTGCGGTGGATCTCTGTGATTGACAGGTCACTCCTGCTTCCCCAGCCAGTAGGCTACACACTAATCTGATGCCTCACAACTAATAGTCTTTTTTTTTTCTTTTTTTTTGGTTTTTTTTGAGACAGGGTTTTGCTGTGTAGTTTAGACTGGCCTGGAACTCAGAATGTAGCCCAGGCTGTCCTTGAACTCATGGTGGTCCTATTGCCACCACATCTGGCTGCCAATAGTCTTTTTTTTTTAAACAAACATTCTTTATTAGTACATGTTTATAGTACATGCAGTTCACAGTCATCTTGAGAAATGGGTACATGTACATAATCTAGCGTGTTTTTTATTTTTTAATCCCCTTTCCCTTTCCTCCCCCCTCCTTCCCTACTTCTCTGGTTCCTCTATTTCAGTTTTCATTCTTGTTGATATTATTAATCTTAGCTCATATTAAAGCATGTAATGTTTAAATTCATTGAGGTTATTAGCTTTCTGTACATGGCTTATCTAAGGCTACTCATTTCCCCTTCCTCTCCTCTTCACCCCTTACCCTTGTTCCCTATGACCACTTAACCGTTGCAAGAGATGCATCCCCTTGTCTCTTTCTATCCATCTTTTATTATTCTCTTTGTTTGTCCTTTGCTTCACTCAAATGAGAAATACTGTACAGTATTTAAGCTTGTATCTGGGTTATGTCACTCAACATTATATTTTCTAGATGCATCCATTTTCCTGCACATGTCTCAGATTTGTCATTCTTTATATCTGAGTAGTATTCCATTATATATAGGTAGCACATTTTCTTTATCAAGTCATCTGTTGATGAAGATACAGGCTGCTTATGGGATTTAGCCATTACAAATTGTACTGCTATTAATATTACTATACAAGTATCACCAAAGTATGGTATCTTAATTATGCTTTTTGGGAAAGGTACCTAGAAAGGGGATATCTGTGTCCTATGGAATTTCTAATTTAAGTTCTTTGAAAAATCTCCATACTGATTTCCATAATGATCATTCTCACCAACAAAGTTTACATTCTCACCAACAAAGTAGGAGGGTTTCTTTTTCACCCCAGCCACCCCAGCATTTATTATTGTTTGATTCTTAATGATTGTCATTTTATCCAGAGTAAGATACAATCTTAGCATTGTTTAAATTTGCATCTCTAATGACCAGAGGTGTTGAACATTTTTTCATATATTTGTTGACCTCTGTGAATTATCTGTTCTTTTCATTTTAGGTAGTTGGATTAGTTTTGAGTTCTTTATATATTCTAGATATTAGTCCTTTGTCTGAGGAGTATTTGGTAGAAGTTTTTTCTCATTCTGGATATTGTCTCTTCACTATACTAATTGACTGTTTTACTGTACAGAAACTTTTTAGTTTGATATAATCCCATTTGTTGGTTTTTGCTGTTATTTCTTGTGCAATTAAGATTCTGTTTAGAAAATCCTTCCCTACACATGTCTTGAAGTGTTTTACCTATTTTATCTTCTAATAGGTTTAATGTTTCCATTTTAATGTTTAGATCTTGGATCCATTTTTATTTTAATTTAGTTGATGGTGACAGATATGCGTCCAGTTTCAATCTTCTGTGAACAGATAAGCAGTTTTCCAAGCACCGCTTCTTGAATAAGCTACCTTTACTGCAACATATGCTTTTGACTGCTTTGTCAAAGATCAAATAGCTGAATGTGTCTGGGATGTCTCAGTATCCTCTATTTCAGTGATGGCAAACTTTTAGAGCTTTCAGTGATACAAATAACTCACTATAGCACACATGCTGTAAGTTTGCTATCAGTGCTCTATTCTATTCCATTAATCCACATATCAGTTTTTTTTCCAGTACCATGTTGGTTTATCACTATTGCTTTGTAGTATATCTTGAAGTCAGGTATTACCCGGCCTCCTACTTTGCTCTTGTTGCCCAAAATTGCTCTTCCTATTCTGCATCTCTTCTGGTTCCATATGAGTTTTAGGATTGTTCTCTCTAGTTCTGTAAAGTATGCTGTTGGTATTTTCACTGAGACCACATTGAATCTCTATATAACATTTTTGGGAGTATCGCCATTTTGAAAATATTGGTTCTGTGTATCCAGGAACGGTGGAGATCTTTCCATTGTCTCATGTCTTCTTCAATCTCCTTTTTTTTCAGAATAATATAGTTTTCTTTGTAGAGGTATTTCACTTCCTTGGTTAGGTTAATTCCAGGGTACAGTGGACCCTCAAGTTACAACCAGTCTCATATACAGACAACTTGGGTTGTGACCAGAATTTTAAGTTTGACTTGCAACCAAGGTCTTGAGTTGCAACCTGAATGCCAGCTGCATGTGCAGTTGTAAACAAAGACTCATGATGCCAGAAAAGTATATGTAAGCATCAGTCTGAGTCCAGATGCATGTGTTTGTGGATATGATTTGGTCAGTGCTTTATATAATTGCCACCATTACTGCTATCAAAGTGGCTCCAGAAAGGCTAAAAAACAGGATAAGGAAGGAAAGGTAAAGAAAGCAATCACAATCAAAATGAAGCAAATTGCGGAGAAATAGAGAGTGGTGTTCATGTGACGAATCTCACTAATATGTACCATGTATCAAAATCTATCTTCATGGCAATCTTATAGAGAAAATGTTTGTATAAGGAAGCTAATGTTGCTAAAGGTATTATTCAGATTAGTAAGGCGTGATCAGCAGTGTGTGTGTGTGTGTGTGTGTGTGTATAAACAAAAGGCAGATGACAGGTTATAGCCTGAGTCTATAATTTGTGTAAAAGCTAGGGCTATAAATGCAGATCTCATAAAAGATAATTCATCAACGAGTGATAATGGTGAAACATTTCATGCCAGTAAGGGGTGGTTTCACAATTTTAATGCGAGAATTTGAGTTAATAGCATAACTAGGCATGGTAAAACAGCCAGTGCTGATAAAAGAGCTTTTTAAAATTACATACACCACTTTGAAATGATTACACAAAGAAATGGTTTTTGCTGTCATCAAATTTTCAACCGTAACACTCCTGGCCTTTTATGGAAGAAAGTGCCCCGGAGAACTTACTTACCCAGAAGAGAAGAAAATATCAGGCCACAAGCCTATGAAAGATAGGCTAAATTTGTTGCTATGTGCCAATGCTAATGGTAACCTCAAGGTAAAGCCTCTTGGGCTAGAGATATAGCTCAGTGGCACAAGGGCCTGCCTGGCAAGCTTAAAGTCCTGAGTTCAATTTCAGGTACACATAGACATAGAAAGATAAAGCTTCTCTTGGTTTATCACTCTGAGACACCCAGAAAACATAAAGTCATGAAGAATAGGCTAGGGGTCATGTGGAAATATAACATAAAAGTTTGGTTAACAAGAGTATATTTTCTTGAGTGGGTCAGGGAGGCTTTTTGTCCTACTGTTAAGAAATATCTAAAGGACAAAGGGTTACCACTCAAGCCTCTCCTCATCATGGACAGTGCTCCTGCTCACCCATGAAATTTGGGGAGAATTGACTAAAGAATTCCCATGGCTTTCAGTCAAGTTCCTCCTACTAATACAACTCCTTCACTGCAGCCTATGGACCAACTAACTTTAAGAAGCTGTACACTAAGGAACTGTTCCTAAAGTGCTTCCAGATGGTTTCAAATACAGATTTAACCCTTGAAGAATTCTGGAACATTATAACATCCTTTCCTGTGTGGGGTTAATTGAGAAATCCTGGGCCAATATCTCTCTAAGGACACTGAGATCTTCCTGGAAGAAAGTGTGG